GGGGGGGGGGGGGGGGGGGGGGGAGGGAAATGACCCAGTAGCGGGAAGTAGGCACTGTTGTCTTGCATTGGCCGGAAGTTCGTTTCTGTTGATGGTACCATCAAACCCTTGACGATTTGTTCGTTCGTTTCGACGAAAAATTACAGGGAGTCAGTTCCCTGTTAGTTCGCTTACGTGTAACCCTCAAAAGAGGAGGTCAATGACAGCCTTGCCGACGGATAGCTGCTTTTGGCACTTCCTACCTCTAAAGTATTTCCGAGTGCCTTCTCTTACAGGGAGCGAACACGGAAAAGAAGGAAGGATTGTTTAGAATTTAGAAATTGTTATCTCAGTTAAATGACTTTATTTTGAAAGAAAAAATGAAGGAAAACGAAAAAAATGGCTCCATTTCAGTTTGAAAATATTATAAGATGCGCGTAATAAGCATCGCCTTGGGAAGCACTACTAGTGGAATTGAAATTAACTACGACGAGAATTGCCTTCACTCACTTATACGGCTGTTCCCCCTCGCAAAATGCTGTTTAAATGTGCGAAAAAAAAAAATTATATTGCGTTTTAAAAATGTATTTATTGGTAGTGTTTTCTGTTGGGAAGCTTTTTGGAGATATAAATATTTGAGAGTGCTAATATTGTAAATTGCAGCTGAGTGCGCAACGAAGTTTGCTACTTGCGCGAGAGCGACTTCTGGCTCTTCAGAATGAATCACAGCGTCTGCGAACTCTGCAGCTGGTCAAGAAACCGATGCCCCCGTTGGCGAAACGTATGCGAGGCGCCATCGATCTCACTTCTATTAATCTCTACCTCAATCGCAACTTTTGCGTGCGCAACACAGACGAAAGTACGTCTTTTCTTCTTTATTACAAAGCTTATGCAAAAAATGTTGCTACTTGACAGTGCTGGGTCCGTGATACATTGGACCAGTTTTTCGTATTAGCACCTTGAAATTTACTGAAATCGGACAATTAGTGCAGATCCGACATGTCTTGGTGCGGGATTATATGTACATGCGAAATGTAGTTACGCCAAGTCCTTCGATTCCAAAATGCGTGGCTTCAAAATTTAGGTTTTTTTATGCGTTTTATTTTTGAGGGTTTAATTAGTGGTTCTGTGAACTAGCTGGCACACTTCCAAGCAACATTTTTTATGATTTTGCGTCTTGCATGTAACGACATGTAGCTCAGGATCAAAAGGCTTGAGTTATCCGTGCCTTGCGCATGAAACCATTCCAGTAGCATTATTAAGATGAGCCATTCCCTTCACATACTAATTTTCTTTTCTCTTCCACATACTAATTCCTTCCTCTTCTAAAAAATCCTCCTCTCCTCTTCACTCCGATTTTCCAGCTGTGAAATCTATTCTTTCCCATCTTCCTTCCCTCTAAATTCTCTTCTACTTGCATACAGGTTATCAGCATTTCCAAATGGTGGATTGGGGGCTGCACTGACGATTCCCACCCCAATCCACACCGCATACTGTCTGTGTTTGCAGCTTAGGGATGAAACACAAACAGCCAAGTTCACATTTAGCTTCCCTACAGGTCCTCCTTCCATCTCCGGAACTTTTTATAAAAAGCACTCCACTATCTATTTCACTGCTTGATTTCGAGGACTTTCCGTCCATTCATTCCTCCATCGTAGTATTTCTGATGTGTATTTTTCATTAAGGGTTTCGACGTGATGGATGAGGTGGCGAAGTGCACGTTTGCTTTGAGCTGCCCCTAATTTAGCTTACTTTTTCTCCTAACTGTTGATGTATTAGCAGGCAGTGTCATCGTTCTGTTCGTTTTTGAACTCAGCACGTGCAAGTGATTCGAAATAAGCTTTTTTTTTTTAATTCTGCTTGAATTGGCGTCAAAAAAGCGATATTCAATACCCAAATTTTTTTTTTATGCATTTCATTTTTACCTTGTAGCCAGCCCAATTTGTTTGGAAGTACAATGTTGCTGTTATGAGCTTGGCAAGTTCAGTTACTATATTTTAGATGTTTCGTATGCTTTTGTCATACTTTTGAAAACTGATGACCAAGTGGAGGCCACGCAGATCGTCTCACTGATGGATACACGAGCACTACGTGTTAGCAAGGTTCATTTCAACGAGCATATTCGCTTCACAAATCTTCCGGTGGATTTCACGGTGCTCATGGAGATCTATGCTTTGGTATGTGTTGTACCGGCTTGATTCGTTTTTCTCCTCTCTCACTTTGCAGCATTTATTTGCCTCCGGACTTTTCCATTCGAATGAAAACGGTTTTTTCACAAAATTATATTTTTTTGCGTGGAAGTGATACAACGTATTTTTAGAAAATTAATGAATGTCGACGGTCGGACGATTATTCTTGCAGCATGTTGAAAAACAAAGCGATGTCATTGCTGAGTCCGTGTTAGTTTCCTTTTTATAGGTCCCTGATTTATGTTGTTATGCGTTTTTTGCAGCTTTGCGATGCAGGAAACGCGTATTGACAAGAGGTTGTCTGTGTGTGCGTCTGTCACGGTTTTTCATCTCAAGACCTACAAAAACTACAGGGCTGAGACTTTGGGAGTTTAATCTACATACACGTACGGGCCCCAATCCCCAAAATGGGCGCCATTACCCGCGTGGTACCCGCGCACGGGCCTACCAAAGCCTTTTTCGGGTAGGTCTATAACTCGGGGATTTGAGGAAATAGAAAGCTGAAATCTTAGGGCGGTGTTCCCCGTCCACGTGGGTATTAGTGAGCTCAAACCCAGCCCCCGAGTAAGCGTGGTACCCACATACGGGCCAGCCAAAGTTTTTTTCGGGTAAGTTGATAACTCGAGTACCTAAAAAGTTAAAGGACTTTGATTTTAAGAGGACATTCCCCGTCCACCTAAGTTTCATTCAGCTCAAACCCAACTCTCGTGTATGCGTGGTAAACACGCACGGACCCGTGAAAGTTTCCATTAAGTTGCTAACTCAGGAGCCAGGGAAGCTAGGAAGCTGAAATTTTAGGGGGATGTTTTCTGACAGTTCTGATGGCCAATTTTAGTTTGTTTAGCTAGAGGCATTTGCCGAAGAAGCAGGTGCCGGTAGCGACAAAAACTGCGGGGAACTACGCAAAAAACGCACCTTCGCGCCAGCAGCCCGTGCGTTGGCCAGCTATATTGATTATTGTGCTTCTGAAAAGTATTGGTTGTGAGCTTTGCACAATTTACATTGATCCTCCAATTTTCAGCGAAGAAATCAAGTGGTAATGAATCGCTGGTG